TATATATAATGTACTATGAGAAGAAAAACAGCAGGATACTGGCATTAAAACAGATCCATCTGTAGCCTATGGGAGCAGCTAATGAGCAGACATTAAGAGTCTGAAGAGTTCCTGTTTTATTTGTTTAATGATATTTCTTTATATTCAAATATAAGTGTATATGTATTGTTTTCTAAAGATTAATGATTCAGTGGGGTTGAAGAAAACATTTAGATCGTTATTCCTTTCACATTTGAATTCAATGCCCCTGATAACTTGATATATTTGAGATGTCACACATAGCTCCACGCTTTCCTCCACCTTTTTTGGGTCTTAAACTAGTGTACCATGCGCCATATCATACCGTTCACGGTAATACCGGTATAATGTTAGGATATAATATATATAAATATAAAGATATAATGTTACTGACCTCGAACTGATTTTATGTGGTACACGGCGTCCGAAAATCTGTCAAAAAATGTTTTACTACGAAGCTACGAACCTGCACCGCTTGATGGATTGTCGGAGCATTACGGCTATTGTAGGCAGGAGCCTCGCGGAGTGCTATGTACTGTGCTTCAACATAATATTACCATATTGTGTGTGTATAATCTAGGTTTTGTGGAAATTATACATGGCTGAGGATATGTCGGCCAATTTCCACTGGACATGCCTTTTAGTTAAACTTTCAGCAAGGAATTTGCATTTGCACTGTTAAATTTTTATATAACTTTAATGCACATAAAAAACAGCTGCTTGTTTAAGTGAAAATATATTGATGGGTTGTGGATGTGGAGTTGTAAAGTATTTTGTCTCGCGTCATTTATATCGTCAGTTATATCGTTATCGTAAATTTTAAAATATTATATCGTGATAAATATTTTTGGCCATATTGCCCTGCCCTAATACCATGTATAGTATGCTATATATTTTGTTAGTGTTTATTACTGTTTTCATTTTATTCATTGTTTAGCTTATCAGATAGAAAAACACATCTGCATCATGAATATTTGGTCCAACTTTATGGATACAAAAGTCACCTGAACCTGATTCTTCAAGTCAGTTTTACTTATGAGGACAAAATAAATAATGGACATGACCTTATGAACAAGAATGAACACAAATTCCCCCAGACATGCAATCTATAAGAATGAGTGAGAAAATCATAAACCTCCCCAACCCTCTTGTTCAACCTGAATGAGTTACCCAGCAGCTACAGTCTGGCACAAATGAGACTGCAGAAACATCAGGGCAGAGGAAAAATACCACCAGCAGCTTCTTGCCCTTTCTCCTTTCCCTTTTTAACCACACAGACATTAATAATTCATTTGATATATTCTGCATGGTGATAGCTTGGTCACTGAGGAGAACAATGCAGAAGGTTTTGACTGTTTAACAATTAGCTGTACAAATCTCGTTCACATCATAATGCTGCTTAAGTTTAACAGATGTGAGCAGTCCCAATGACATATTCAATTTTTTGTACATAAATTATCTGGATTATATTAAAACACACACACATTGGGTTTCAGGATTAGCGAGGTTCAGTTTTTTACTCTTAATGTATTTGAGGTGTAGCGCCTGTGCTCCAATGACCAGTAAAAAAGGCTACACTTGTGAAAAGACTAAGTCCTGCATTTCAATACAATCAAAGCTAAAAATGATAAATGACTCTTTATCAGGAGCAACTATGACTAAAGAAATATGGAGGACGGGTATTGTTTGTGTACAACAATGAAATAAAACAAAACACATTATTCCTTTACTTGAAATTAAAACAGCCCATGAGAAAGATTTACTTACTCAATGGCTCTGGCCCCACTGTGCCTTTGATTCCCTCCTTGTGCCTAACCCAACAAATTATCACTGCTCATGAGTTATGCACCAACCTATCACACTAAACACAGCCCAATCAGCAGCACTGCAGGGTAGGCCAAAACTTTGTTTAATTCCTTAGAGTCTTTTCAAAGTAAAAGCCATCTAGTGCATCAACTTTTACCATCTTGTTTTTGGAAAAGCTGGAAACAGCCATGACTGCTCTTCATGCTATGAAATACCCAGATATTGCTGAACCATTTAATAATATATATAACTGATAGCCAAACTCAGAGAAATAACACCCTAATCATAATGGGCCAAGATGATCTTCTAAGGGTTTTTTTTTTTTTGGCATGTTTGCATGGGCAGCACGGTGGCACGGTGGTTAGCACTGTTGCCTCACAGCAAGAAGCTCCTGAGTTCAATTCCACCATCAGGCCGGTCTTTCTGTTCTCCCCGTGTTTGCGTGGGTTCTCTCCGGGTACTCCGGCTTCCTCCCACCGTCCAAAGACATGCAGCTTGTGGGGATAGGTTAATTGGATAATCCAAATTGCCACTAGGTGTGAATGTGAGTGTGAATGGTTGTCTGTCCCTGTGTGTTAGCCCTGCGACAGACTGGCGACCTGTCCAGGGTGTACCCCGCCTTTTGCCCTATGACAGCTGGGATAGGCTCCAGCGCCCCCCGCGACCCTGAAAAAGGATAAGCGGAAGCGAATAGATGGATGGATGGATGTTTGCATTTATTAAATAGTAAAGCAGTGAAAATGGACAGAAAAGGGGGAGAGAGAGAGAGAAGAGGGAAGACATGCTACAAAGGTCCATGGGTTACTTGAAGCCAGGCTGCTGCACTCTGGCCACGAGGTTGTCTGCTCACCCGCTGAGCTAAAGAGGCAGCTGAGCTTTTAAAGTAAATAACCTTTTCATTGTTAAGCCGTGCACAACACATCTCCCAAACTCTCCTGTCGCTGTCTGTTTTATACACCTAAACATCCTCAAGCTGACAGTCAGCTGCTGCATAAGGAAATCCCAAAAGACTTCAGCTAAATCTATCCGATCTCTCCGATGTTTGCATCTCCTCGAAATCACAACAAAACACACGAGCAAGAAAATAGTAACAACTGTTTCATTTTCAAGGCTCTTTCCATTAAAAAGTAGGTGATTACAGCAAATAACAATATCATAATGTTAACAAAGTAAATAAAGGTTCACTGTAATAGTTACTAATTATATAAAGTATATTTAAGGGCTGCATGGTGGTGCAGTGATTAACACTGTTGCCTCACAGCATACACCTCCTTTTCCACCATCAGGCCGGTCTTTCTGTGTGGAGCATGTTCAACCCGTGTTTGCGTTCTCTCCAGGTACTCCAGCTTCCTTCCACAGCCCAGAGACATGCAGTTAGTGGGGTTAGATTAAATGATGTTTCTAGGTGCCCGAATGGTTGTCTCTATGT